ATCTGGAGTCACACCCTCCAGCAAGGCAAGACTCAAGATATATCCCACCCTAAACAGGCATAAAGCAAAAAACCAAACTCACTGCCCTGGAGTTGTTTCTGACTAATAGCAACCCCTCCTTGGGTTTCTGAGGCAGTATCTCTGACTGCTATCCAGAAGCCTGGAGGTTCAAACCCACCAGCCACCCCTTGAAAGGAAACAGGCATAGAGAATAGGATTTACAGTACATCACAAAAATGGTGGTGACTTGAGTCATGCCCTCCAGCAAGGCGGGATTCAAGATGCATCCCACCCTACACAGGCATAAAAAATGCAACCACTGCCCTGGAGTCGGGTAGCAACCCCTCCTTGGGTTTGGGAGGTGGTATCACTGCAGAAGTAGATTGTCCAACCTTCCTTCCGAGAAGTGGCTGGTGGGTTTGAACTGCCAGCTTTATGGTTAGCAGTCAAATGCCTTAGGCACTATGCCACCAGAACTCCTAAACAGGCATAGAGTCTAGGATTTACAATACATCATAAAATGGAGGACAGTGGCTAGAAGGGCCATATTAAGCAATTCACTGCAGTGCACATACCTTCTCTCTCCAATGTTTTTACCAGTGTTGACACCAAACATCCCTCCTTTGGCACTTTCTCCTCCTCTGGTGGGTTTGATAATTCGTTACAGTGGTTATACAGAACTCACAATATAGAGAAGTAACAGGTTACAATTCAGGATCAGAAATGACTCAGTTCTTTGGTTAGGACAGTTTATTCTCAGCCATGCTTGTAGGTACACTTCTCTCTGGCCCTTGACCTACTGGACCTGCAGCCTCTGCCCTGTTCAGGCAAGAGTCACAAAGCTCTTTAGCTCCACTGATAAGTGTACAGAGACATTCCACTCTACCAGTAAGCCTTGACCCAAAGGCACTCAGCTCTGCCTCTGAGGATTGGCAAGCCTAGTTCCACTGACAAGGGCCTGGAGGCACCCCACTCTACCAGCAAGCCTTCCGCCTGAAGGCAGTCAGCTTTGTTGTTCCATGAGCCAGGCAGCTCACTATGCCATCTCTTGCCAGTTTCTTGGTTCTGTTCCTGCCATTTCTTTCTGCCTCTCTAGTGTTATAGCTCTCTCTCTGTCTCCTGGGACTAGGAGGCTCCCAGAGCAGGGACCCCAGATCCAAAGGACACACTCTACTCCTGAGTGTTCTTTCTTGATGGTTGTGAGGTCCCCCGTTCTGCCTCTGGGATGGTTCATTTTAAACCTAAGAATGGCAAAACTGACCAGTCCTCTTGTTAGAGTTCCATGCACCTTATTTGCATAGTCCCACCCAGTCATTTGGTGGGAGTTGCAAAGTCTTTGGGTAGAAGGGCCATACTAAATAACTCACTGCACTACTTCCGTAGTGATACTGCGTCGGAAACCCAAGGAGGGGTCGCTATGAGTTGGGGCCGACTCGACGGCAAATAACAACAACAACAACAACTGCAACTACTGTACTGAAAGTGTTGCTGCTATGGTTACCTTGGCTGATTTCAGGTGACAACCCTTCATCCTTATAGCCTTCACTGTGTCTGCAGCCCTTGGCACAGTTGACTATTAATCTCCTCCCTTGGTCTTATTGCTGCTTTTCTTCTGGTTTTCATCTTAACCTCTGGCTGGTTCTTCCCCACCACATTGAGACAGCGTTCCTTAGGAGGTTACTGGTGGTATTTTGGCAAGTAGATAGAAAACAATAAAGCCAGACCAGTGGTTCTCCAAGTGTGATCCTGGGCTAGCAGGATCAGTATCACCTGGGAACTTGTTAGAAATGCACATTCTCAGACCATGTCCTAGAACTTACTGAAGGGTAAAGGCAGGTAATCCCTCCAGATAATATTGATGCCCACGATGTTTGAAGAGATGGTGTCTGACAGTTAGTGGGATTTAAGACATAGACAGTCCCTTAGAAAACTGCCAATAGCAAGGTGGGCCTAGGTTTTGAGGCTCTAGGCAACTTAAGGCATTCTGGTGGTACAGTGCCTATGGCACTTGACCGCTAACCAGAAGGTTGGTGGTTCAAACCCACCAGCCACTCCACAGAAGGAAGACAGCACAATCTACTTTCGTAAAAATTTAGCCCCTCGGAAACCTAATGGGGGTTGCTGTGAGTTGGAATCGACTCAATAGCAGTGGGTTTAGTTTTTTTTGGGGGGGGGCAGCTTATAGAGACAAAGACCTAATTGCCAGAACTAGCATATCACCTGGAGGACACAGCAGTACAGCCACCAGCATTGGGCTCTGAAGACTCTGAGCCAGACTGGCCTGATACTGGTTTCCCTGAATTCCTTGTGACCAGATTGAGTCCATATGCTTGGGTCAGGCTGCAATTGTAGGTAGGAAGCCAGTGGCCCCAGCTGTGGGGAGTTAATGGCTTTGGGGTCCAATGCCAGTAAGACCTTACCAGCATGAGTTTGATGTTGTTGGTAACAGTGCTAGAGGCGCAGGCAGTTAATGTTCCCTTCTTGCTCCAGCCCCAGGTCAGGAACAGTGAATAAAGAGACTGTTTGTCCTGGATAATATAAATAGTTAAGCATCATGTCAGCCTGTTAGGGTTTCAGCAGTAAATGGATGGGGTGAAGATGGTGGGCTTGGCTGCCAGTTTAGAAAAACAAGTGGCTGCCTCAGTATGGGGTTGTGTTTTACCTTGTATGCCACAGCATATAGGAGCTCTGGTGGTGTAGTTCCTAAGGCACTTGACTGCTAACCAGAAGGCTGGCGGTTCAAACCCACCAGCCACTCCTCGGAAGGAAGGTTGGGCAATCTACTTCCGTATTGATACTGTCTCGGAAACCCAAGGAGGGGTCGCTATGAGTTGGGTTCGACTCGATGGCACATAACAACAACAACAACAGCCACAGCATATGCTGCAAAAGATCTTTTGTATTCACAACCACAATGTGAATCTGAGTTGCATTCTTTCTTGTTTTTAAAGTCAGTGGGAAGTTTTGTTTTTTATTTTGTACGTAGAATAAGAACAAAACAGTTGGCTTTATTTTAACGAGAGAGAGAACATCAGTGATTTAAAGAGATTCTCCAATATTGTTTTGTTGTTGTTGTTACGTGCCATCGAGTCGGACCTGACTCATAATGACCCCTCCTTGGGTTTCCAAGGCAGTATCACTACAGAAGTAGATTACCCAACCTTCCTTTCGAGGAGTGGCTGGGGGGTTTGAACGGCCAGCCTTCTGGTTAGCAGTCAGTGCCTTAGGCACTACGCTACCAGAGCTCCTAATATTGTTTTAAGTGTCATTTAGTTCCTACTTCACAGCTTCAGTTTTGTTTTTTTTTTTAATAAAAACTCTAACCTTGGACAAGCCACTTAATTGCTTATGTTCTGTTTTCTGTTCAGTAGTGTTTAGTTAAAAGTATTGTAAGAAAACCCTGAGATTAATGGAGAATGTTCTTTTCCTGTCAGTAATGTAAAACACCAAGAACAGTGTTACGTAAGTGGTAAATGCTCACTATGTCTGTTCATGGGTCTGAGATTCATACCATATTCCATTTTAAGAAAGTTGGAACAACGAGAAGAATATATGTTGTAAGAAATCAACATATAGCAAAGACCACTAGACTTACCAGGCAGTATGACCTTAGACAAGTTACTTGGCCTCTGAATGTTTCCTTATAGTTTTTGCCTACTTACCTCTCAGAGTTTTTCTACAGAGTAGAGATAGTTTATGTGAAGATGCTTTGTAAACTAAAATGCTATGCAAAGATAAATTATAAAAATTAGGAAGAGAGTAATAACTGCTTGTAAAATGTGAAGTACTGTTATATGGTAAGAGAGCGGCTATGGTTCCGTGGTGGAAGTCTCACCTTCCATGCGGGAGACCCAGGTTTGATTCCCAGCCCGTGTACTTTGTGTGCAGTCAGCGGAGGCATGTGTGTTGCTGCGATGTTGAACAGGTTTCAGCAGAGCTTCCAGATCAAGACAGACTAGGAAGAAAGACCTGGCGATCTACTTCCAAAACTCAGTGAATGAATGAAAACCCTATGGATCACAATGGTCTGATGGCAGCCAATCATGAGGGTGGCATAGGACTGGCAGCATATTGTTCTATTATGCATGAAGTCATCCTGAGTCAGGGACCACTTGACAGCTAACAATGACATGAACAGTAATGTGAAGTATGACCAATGGATGTGAATTATCAGGATGCATTTTTTTTTTTAGTTCAATATTTTAAATTTCTTTTTTGAAGTTTCCAACAATTAAAGCCAGCTAATTGAAGGTGGGCTAGCATATCTTATGGTAATAAGCTTCCTGACCTGGCAATATTCCCTAACCCTGGGTCCTGTCTCTTAGGCTGTTACAGAAAGAGCTCTGCAGTAAGTTACCTTCCATATTCCTTTAGGAACTGGAAGACTTTCTGTTTTGGGGAGCCTGGGAGAATAAGGAGCATATTCATTGGGGTCATCTGTTTTTCATTTAAGCCCCTAATATCAGTGTTTGATTTTCACCTTACCAAATGTGAATTGACTGACTATTATGTGTAAGATAGCCTATTGGATGTGAGAGATAGAAGTCTTCTCTATCTGATTTTTCTCCATCAGCAATGGTGTACTTTTTTTTTAATTGAAAATTTGAAAATTTGGTATATAGACCTGTAATTTATAGTAAATTATTTTAAAATATAACTACAAACAACCAGGCTATTTTCCTACTTATTCTATCGTTCTTACTATCTTTCAGTTTGCTTATGTTGCACAGGCTTAATGTGTATGTCCCAAGACTTACTGCAGTAGTTATATGTTTAAATACAACTTTTGGGGTTTTTTTTTGTTTGTTTGTTCTTTTCCTGTTTGTTTTTTTTTTAAATTGTGCTTTGGGTATAAGTTTACTGAGCAAATTAGTTTTCCATTCAATAATTTATACACATTTTATTTCATAAAAATACAGATTTTCTGAAAAAAGAAAACAGAAAATTATCTTCCTTACCACCCATCTATTAGCAATTGATCTTTTATATTTTGTTTCAAGGTCACCGGGGAAATATTATATGACTGGGGTTTGAGAGGATACATAGTCATAGAAGATTTGTGGAAGAACTTTCAAAAGGTGAGAAGCATCTTTTTTTTATCTTCCCTTTGATTTAAATGTGTGGTTTCTCTAGGGTTTTATACAATACTTGCTAACTCTGTTATTTAGCAATAGTGGTGGAACTTGAGCATTTGATTATTATCAGCAGGATTGAATAAGTGATCACCAAATGCATTCCCCTGCAGCCTTCAACCATAATTTCTTCTCTACTGCATTTATAATATGTTCAAAATGTAGTTTTAGAAAAATTACATTCAAAGGAAAAGTGTACTGTGCTTCCAGGTCAAAGACAAATAGTTGAGCCCCCTTCTGTTTGTCATAGCTCAGTTCTTTCTTCAGTAGTGCTGTGTGTGTGCATCCCCTAGCCTTCTTGGCCCAGCTACGGGCATGAGTCATGGTGTGTCGGGGGCTAGCCACAAGCCACAGGCCACCTTCTATGTGCTGTCTGGTGTGATGAGCAGCAGAGAGAGGGAGGTTGTGTAATTGTAAGGGAATGTCATCTTTCATCTCTTTTAGCAGCCATGTAGCTGATTAAAATGTTCCCAGCATTTGCTAGAACATTCTCCCCTTCCTTAATAAGGAATAATGAGTACAGAACAAAGCATATCATGTCTCCTCTGGGCACTCAGAGGGTACACAGCCAACTGTGGAAGAATTTGATGTCTTATATTAACAGATACTTTTTACATTGTAGATTGAAGGAAGTTCATTTTGACTTCAAATTATTTCAAATGAAAACACACTTTAAAAATATATATAAGTAACTATCTTAAAATTAGAATCAAGAATTTTACAGTGAAATTTGGAAGTACCATTATAGAATAAATCATAGATCTTCCTTATTGTTTACATAAATAATCTTCCAAGGAGATCTTAAGACTAATTTTTGTATGGGTGGTTTCTAAAAAAATTAGTCTGTCAAGCCTGTTTAAACTGGCTCTTGAGTAGGAAGTTCTATAGCAGTATCAAGTGTCCTTTGGCAATCCCTTTTAAAGAATAAATACTCATAAATTTTGTTTTCATTTCTCTGACATTTTCTTTGGAAGCTTTCTTTCCTGTTTAAAAAATTCCTTAACAAGTCCACACCAAATGTTATGTGGGAAAGGAAATAAATGTCAGGAAAACTATACACTGCCCTAGAAAGAAACGTGGAAAGTGACACTAGGTCAGCCTCCATTCTGAGTGCTCACCGTGGTGTGACCAGAGACAGATGCTCACCAAAGCCACAGAGGAATACCAGGGAAGTGTCTGGCTTGAAAACAGCTTTCTATAACAGCTCTGAGAATTCATTCCAGTGCAGAATCAAATAGACTGTGGTAGGAATACAAATTAAAGAGACCAGCATTTTGTGGTAATTTGGAATCGTTAGATATTAAAACTACTCAAACTTAACATGTGAATCTTTTGGGAGTAGGGTGGTAAAGATTTCTAATTAGCTCAAAGTTGGTTGACCTTTCTTTGTCTAGTCTTCTATGCCCTTGCCCTCTTTGGAGTTACTAAGAATACAAAGTGTTCTTCTATTTGTGTATGCTCAGAACATAGTTTTCCTGACAGCTTTCTGTTCTCAATAGAAGATAATAGATACTGACTACAGGAGGTCCCTGGGTTCTGAATGTCCAAATTAGGGAACCCTCCTTTAATGTTATGTAAATTTGTCCTCACTTTGAAACAATTGAACCAATGTCTACTCGCAACAGATTTCTTCATCATAATCACCTTCACTTGCTGCAAGTGCAGCTTTGAAATCATTAAAAAAAAGCATTGAGCCTTTTCTTGCACTAAACCACCCACTGCTGGCAAGAGTTGATTCCAGCGCTATGGGACAGAGTGCAGCTGCTCCATAGGGCTTCCAAGGCTGTAAATCCTCACGGGAAGAGACTGCCACATCTTTCTCCTGTTGGAGCAGCTGTTGGGGTCGAATTGTAACCTTTGGGTTGGCAGCTGAGTGCTTTAACCACTGCGCCACCAGTATGGTTTTTCTTGCACTAAAACCAAAACCAAGTCAACTGCCATTGGGTTGATTCTGACTCATAGCAACTCTGTAGGACAGAATAGAACTGCCACATAGGGTTCCCAAGGCTGTAAAATCTTATGGAAGCAGACCACCTCATCTTTCTTCCATGGAGCGGCTGGTAGATTTGAACTGCCAGCCTTGTTGTTGTTGTTGTTGTTGTTGTTGTTATGTGTCATCGAGTCAGACCCAACTCATAGCAACCCCTCCTTGGGTTTCCGAGGCAGTATCATTATGGAAGTACATTGCCCAACCTTCCTTCCAAGGAGTGGCTGGTAGGTTTGAACTGCCAGCCCTCTGGTTAGCAGTCTCATACTCTACGCTACCAGAGCTCCTACCTTTTGGTTAGCAGCCTCATACTTTAACCACAGCGCAACCAGAGCTCCCTTCCCGCACTGAAGTAAGCGTAAATAAGAATTGTGTGCACTCTTCCAACAAAAGATACACTCAGGAATGGATCTCCTTAGTGACCCTGGAACTGCCTTTAAACATTTAGCATCAGTTTTAAATACAAAATAGCAGAAAACCAAAAAATCAAACTCATTGCTGTCGAGTTGGATCCGACTCATAGCGAGCCCTCCTTGGGTTTCCAGGGCAGTATCACTACTGAAGTAGATTGCCCCATCTTCCTTACGAGGAGTGGCTGGTAGGTTTGAACCACCAGCCTTCTGGTTAGCGGTCAGATGCCTTAGGCACTACACCACCAGAAGTAACAGTAATCTTTTGGGGCCTTGGAGCTAAGTATATTTTATTCATGACATATAAAATAATTCACAGCCTAGTGAGGGAGATGAGAAATGTGCAAAACATGCTTAGTGCCATCAGAAAGACAGGAAAAATTAAGATTTTTGGATGAAGAAGAGAGCCTGTCTCTTTGAAGGGAGCTGGCAGTGCTTCATGAAGATTTTATTGATTGCTAGCTTGTTTAGAAATTGATTTGCAAGTCAGGCTTTAGTTACCAGACTGGATTAGGTATAATCTAATCCATAATTTTTTGTACTTTAATGATGTAACAAAAGTAGACATACCTTGGTTGTAAATAAACCCAAAACCCAAACCTACAACCTTCGAGTTAATTTTGACTTATAACAACCCTATGGGACAGAGGGGAGCTCTGGTGGCGTAGTGCCTAAGGCATTTGACTACTAACCAGAAGGCTGGCAGTTCAAACCCACCAGCCGTTCCTCGGAAGGAAGGTTGGGCAATCTACTTCTGTAGTGATATTGCCTTGGAAACCCAAGGAGGGGCCACTATGAGCCAGATCCAACTCGACAGCAGTGAGTATGGGACAGAGCTAGAACTGCCCCATAGAGTTTCCAAGGCTATAAATCTTTATGGATGCAGACTGTGTCATCTTTCTCCTGCGGAGTGGCTGGTGGGTTCAAACCGCCAACCTTTTGATTAGCAACCTAATGCTTTAACCACTGTACCACCAGAGCTCCTTTTTGGTTGTAAATAGTTAAAGATATTTGTGGACATTGTGCTTACAGCAAGGCCTGAAAATTTAAATGGTGTGAACAGTGTCTCAGTTCTCAATTATATTCTTTTTCATGGGCCTATATTACTCTCAAGGACCCTAAACAAACCTCTGGCATTTTGCTGGTCTGCCGCCTCCCTTCTCCCTTCTGGGAATTCTAAATATTTGCACTGAGTCTTCTTCTAGAAATGTTTGGACAAGATGTTTGTTCATTTCTGTCATCATCATTGGTCACTTAAGAGCAATTTATCTGCTTCAGCCAAAATGAACTCTTCATTAGAATGGTGAAGAGAAGATAGGTGTGTCCAGAAATATTGTCAACAGATTGTACTACCTAAGGTTTTTTTTGGGGGGGAAGAACATGTAACATGGGCATATAGTTTAAAATCCAACAATATAATGAGCATACATTTATCAACCATCCACCTTCAAAAACAGGAAATGACCAGTGCTTTCAAAGTTCTCCATGTGTCCTTCCATTCCCCCTGAGGGAACTATTCTCTGGACTTTCGTATTTTTCATTCCCTTGATTTTCTTTAAACTTTTCTTTTTAGTTTACGTACGTGTATAGTTTAAAACACTGTGATTGAACGTGTATATTTTTGCCTGTATAATATAAATAAATGTGCAAAATATAAATATATAAATGTTACATAAATGAAGTCTTAATAGTATGTGTATTATTTTGCAACTTGTTTTATTTCTTTAGCATTATGTTTATGGCCTGGGAGCTCTGGTAGCATAGTGGTTAAGACATTTGCCTGCTCACCAGAAGGCTGGCGGTTCAAACCCACCAGCCACTCCTTGGAAGGAAGGTTGGGCAATCCTACTTCCGTAGTGATACTGCCCCGGAAACCCAAGGAGGGGTCGCTATGA